TGGGGCCGTCATCTGGATTCCCGCCTGTTCTTTCAAAGCTCCGCCCTTCTTTTCCGGGTCCTCCGGGCAGCTCACTTTTTTCCTGGCGCCATTTTCTAGCAGCTGCTTAAGGGGTTCCGCCACTGCTGCTTCTGCTGCAGCCTTGCCTGCAGTTATTAACTGGCTGCTTAGATTTTCAATATCACGCGTTGCATTGACAAATGCACGGAATAAAACATTAATCATTTTTCCTTTGTCCCATTTGGGGCCTACCCATTTAGTCGCAGTGCGGCCCTCCGTCTCTAAATTTTTACGGAGCTGAGTAAACAGTTCGTGACTGCATGACTGGGGTACCATGGTCGGGCAGTTAAACTTGTCGGGAGGTGTTCCTTCCCTGCCCTCTCGTACATGGCGGATGCAATGGGCAAACTCCTGCGCAGGGGTCGGGTCTGCTACGCTCGCCGCTTTTACCCGATGTAGGGACAGGGTTCCCGCTTCGTCCCAGGGTCTATACACGACCCCTGTTCTGCCCACAACACAGCCCAGGGCCCTTACATCGAGCTTAGCGCCCCACTCTTTTCCCTCTCCCGCTTCACCCCTCAGAGAGAAATGACCGGTGACTGTTTGGTCCTGTTCCCCCGGCCTGATGGTAGGCAATGTGTGCCCATAGATCATCCGAATCGGACGTCAGGTGCTCCCCACTGCGCCATGGGCAGTTTTTAACTAATTCCAACTCCCTTGCGTCTTCCCCATATCCCATCCTCGTCGCCATGTCGCCGCCGAGAGCCGTGGCGCGGGGTTCGGGGCCTTAGGAGCCCTAGTCGGCGGGCAGGTACTTGTGACGCTTGGAGTGGAATCAGGTACTGACGCGTTTTGATTAAACAAAAGATTATTTACTTACACTGCTCGTACAGTGCAGGCCAGAAGCTTGCTTCGATTACGGTTATAAACAAACTTGGGTCGGGCAGAAATTACAAAGTTTGTTGGTCTGTCTGCAAATGTGTTCGGGGTGTTCGGGCCGGCAGTCGTCTTACGTCTCGGGTGGGGGTGTGCTAGGCCCCCTTGGGTCGGTGACGGGGAGTCCTTAGTGGTTGATCAGGCCGCTAAGTTCGCTCTGAAACACGCGTGGAGTTTGCTAGGCTCCACAGTGTACTCAGAGTTCTCCACGAGGTGTGTGTGGAGTTCTCCAACTTGGGCGGAAACTGCTTCAACCTCTTATACGGCTAGCAAGCCAATCGCTGGCCGCCAGGTAGGAATAATTTAGAACAGTCCAATAGTGGGGTACGAATTTACATAAGATTGGCGGGGACTTTTTCGAGGTCATTAATATATAGTCACTGGGCTCTGGAGTTTTCCACTCGTGACCTACTTACATGACCTACTTACAAAATGATTGAC